GCTCTACAAAAGAGCTTTTATAAAGCAGCTTAGCTTTATAGCAGTTTAAGAAACAGAGACTTTATTCATATAACCTCACAAAACGTCACCGCCATCAGCTTCATTAAGTACACTAGGCTGTCAAGATAAAATAATAAAATTTTAGTAGTAGTAGAAAACAGATCAAATTTTAAAAGATCCTTGGAATTTTTTATTAATTTATTTATTATTGGAAATGTGCCTTAGTTTAGTTTTGAATAAGGCAGGAAACAATTCTGCATTCAGTGAAAATTTAAACTTCTTGCATAACTGGGGCTTTTGAGTGTAATGGAATCAGAAGACAGAAAAAAAAAATGCAGTTCTATTCACTTAAGAGCCAGGAAGTGCAAAAAACTATTCCTGAATTATTATTCCTGAAAATTATTCCTGAATTCCAAGGAAATCTAACCGATAGCCTCATTTCAAAAATGTCTACTACTTAACCTGCAAGTGAATGTACAAGTGAGGGATAAGATAGACCTCAGTAGCCTCAAAATAATAAAGAAATGGGAAGCTACATTTATGAACTGCTCCAAAGAAGGACAAAACTCTTAGAACAAAAGCTAAATATGTGAGTTTTTTTCAATCAAGTTTCTGGCATTCCTGAACCTATGAACTTTGTCATTGTTTGGGGATGTACTTTTTTACTCCCTTGCTTTCATTTGTCTTACAGCTTTTGATCTAAGTCCACTACAATCTCTGCTGTTGAGGCAATCTCCACTGCATCAGCGAGTGTCACTTTATGCTGATACTTACACAAGATACTTGAGCAGGAAAGCTTCTGTGTAAGAAAAATTAAAGGAGTGCAAAAAAAAATCTAGAAATAATTCCTGAAAAGACTAGGAGATTTAAAAAAAGTCAAGTAATATACAAAGTCTTACATGAAAAAACAGTAAGCATTCAGAAGTTGAAACTGATTAACTCACAAGAAACAGTTCCTTACAAATGCAAGTTACACTTGAAAAAGGAGGAGCTTCCTTAAAGGGGAGAGGACAACAACATCCAAAAATCTCAACTCCCTCTTTAAACCATCAGTAAGAAGATGTGTAAGCTGCAGGCCAGTATCACAGCTATTGATTCATTAAGTACAATACCAACCTGACACTATTTTGCAGTGTTACTACAGAATTAAACCTGTGCACCATAAAACTACAACTCCTACATATTTTGTTCTCTTTTGTAGACACAGGAAAACTATTTTAATACACTAAATTCAAATCACTCTCTTTTCACTCTTCTAAGCTGGTGACGTGAATAGAAGTAGTTCCTGGAACTTGAATTATTTGGCTTTGAGCTTTAACAATGTAAATCTATGTAAGTCATTCACAATTGGATAGTAACCATTGCACAGTTTGAATAATTAATGTATTACCAGCATTAGAAGTACTATATTTTATTTTTAAATATTTGTGCTGCTGAAAAATAAAATATTGCTTCCAATCACCATCGGCAAGCTCCTCTTTCAGCAAGAAATGCGTATGCAAAATAAAAATTAATTAGCCAAATACTACAGGAAAGCAAGTTTCCTGATTAAGCTACTGTGAAATTAGAATGCATATATATTGAGCTAGAACACCAGATTTCAACTAACCGACTTTTACAAAGCAAGTGAACACCCCTAACCAATATGAAAGTGTTGATCAATAACTTATCTACTAGAGATCACATAACTAGATTAATAAATTGTTTAGGCATCACTAGGCTGCCCATTAGATTAACAATCAATGCAACCAAATCTTTAATGTACAACATGACCATGAATAAGAATGCCTCAGGAAGAGAAATCCCCTCACAGAAAATATTTTTATCATCTGCAACTAAACCAAGTAACTGGTAACTGCATTAAACTTGATTACAAGACATTTTTCAAAAGTAGTCATACTGAAAAATCAAAGTTTAACAAGTCAGGGAAAAGATACAGAAAGAAATTTTAAACAGGAAAGCCTAATGCTGCAACCTTATATGAGAGGTTCCAATTCTGGTTGTCATTGCACTTACCATTATGTCCTTCTTTTATACTGAACAGTAAAAAGGGATAGGATATAAGTGAAGGAAGCTTACTTTTCAAAGCTTTTAAGAAACAAAAACAAGGATTAGAAACAATTATTATTTTCTTTCTAAATACATGGTTGGCAGAAGACTTCAATATGTTATAAGGATTATGCCAGAAGAGTTTATCAAGACCTGATATGGTAAAAACTATCCACCAGTATCATAAATTGCAATTTTTACCAAGAAGCAACTTTTAAACTCTTAAAACAGGGAGTAACTTTTTTCAGTGTATGTACAATGGTAATCTGAGACTAGAAGTAGATGGGGTCTGTTCACCGTAAACAAGTATTAGTAAGAATAACTAAAAAAAATTAGTTGTATAAGAAATTCTACTAAATTGAGAAAAGATTTGATGTATCATTTTGCAATCTCCTGAAATGGTCTACAATTCTTCTCTGCTGCAAAATGCAAAGGCTTTTTCAATTCCCGTTCACACTATACAACTTAAGTACCATTATCTAAAGACATGTTATAATGAACACCTATAAAATGATAGGCCATGCTTAGGGTTACAGAGCTGCCCTTATTAGAAACAGTTGCTAAAGAAAGTAAATAAATACATCGCTTCCAATTTTGTTTCAATTCTTCCTCTTTTAAAGTTCAAAGGACACAGAAGTAAAACTTAAGTCAACACATGACCAGAACACTAAAGACTAGTCTGAATACTACAGGAAACAATTTTTTTTTTTTTAATTATTGTATATGCCACTTCAACTTCACATGACATTAAGAAAATAACACCTGTACTATATATTCCTTTATATAACTTATAAGACTTTTGGTAGGGTTGTCACTGCACAGCTACATCTATACATTCTTGCAGTGTATTAATTAGTTCCAGATGAACACAAAATTCCAGCAATGCAGCTCAGTGGGAAAGCTACACTCTTCCACTTTTACCTTTCCCCCCCAAAAAATTTCATTGTATAAAAGTCACAAAAATCACATATAGTGATTGAAGTGCTTTCCATTTGAACCACTCCTCTTCCCTTCTTACACTACATTTTTGCCATGTCCAGCACACTAACTTGAACAATTCCTATTCACACAGAGTTAGGAATTTAAAGATGCAGATAAGCACGAGGATGGCCAAACTGTGGCAAGCAATTCAAGCACAGAGGCTAACTAATAACATCTCAAGACAGCTCCAAGAAGAAAATCAGTAGAGGTTGCTGTGGCCAGCATTACCTAGTGTTCCCCAGCACCCCAAGCTGTAGGATATAGGTCACAATCTCCTAACAGCAATGGAAACAGAGAGCTACTGCCATCTCAAGCCTGTGGGTTGGCTCCCCAGCTTCCCCTTCCTGCAGCTCTCTGCAGCAAGTAGCATGGGTCTCACATATCAGCCACAGGAGGATTTTGACACGTAGCTTATAGGGTCAGAAAATCAGGCTACCCCAAGAGATGCTATGTGAAGGTATCATGGTAAAATGAAATTTCATATTTGGCACTACAGAAGTCACAATCAATAAGTGCTATTTCTAAATTACATCAGACAATTGTTATATGCTATTTCACAAAGTATGTTTAATGATATGTGGGAACACACTGAAGGACATTATGAGTTTTGAATTCTTCATCTTCATCACCCCAAAGAAAAGACATACTGAAAGCAGTTTTCTTTTACAGTGTGAGCACATATGGAAATAAATGATTGACTGTTTTCTGCTGCAAAGTTTCTCAAAACACAATCAGCAAAATCAACTGATAGCTGTTAGTAACATCAAAGGAACAATTTTGCTTCCTCCCCATCTTTATTAAAAACACTAAGGGGCAGAGGATAGGGAAAAAATGTCCTGCTGAGAACAGGAAATCTTTTCTTTTCTAACTTCCCCTAGCATGTCTCAGAATATACATAATATATTCTTCTCGGCCCTACAGAAAACGTTATGGTATAGAATTTAAGATCGGTATTTCTTTCACAAAACAAAATCAGAAAGCAGCTGAGAAACCAGCAGTTTATTTTTGATTTATGTATCAAGCGGTACCTGTGAAGGGGAGCAAAATTCCCTCCTGCAGATTACAGTTGTTATAATAATGTAAGAGAGCACTGTGTGGATCACTTATTCATTGCTTCCTCACTAAGAATAGCTGTAACAGTAAAAGGTATCCTTCTCACATGAAACTAAAGCATTCACAATACAGGTTGCGTTCATTTAACTGCTTTGGTTGGTACAAAAAAAAAAATCATACCCTCGACCAAAACAGATCATCATGAAAATTTAGAAGCTGACTCCTCTGATACCAATGTTTTGCTAGTCCTGCAGGATGAGTCTTCAGAGGCAGAGCACACCTAAATTACTAATATAAATAATGTAGAAATTATTGCAGAGGACAATTTTCTTTTCCACCTTTATAATCTTTCGGTCGCCTTTAGTAAAGATTTTGAGGTTTTCCTCATCTACTTTTACAGTAGGGTCAAAGGGGAGAGTGATTTTAGGCTCCATATGAAGTTAACACTGCCCATTTTGTTTCTGAAGTGTATTATTTCCTAGTAAGTTAAGCATAAATCAAAACAAGAAATTCAAATAAGCTTAACAGCCTAAACTGGTTTAAAATTTAAACCTTCAGTCAAACTAGGGCACCTCCTCAGGGAAACATAATTTATTCCCTTGGCCTCCCACTCCAAAAAATTCTCTTATTTTATTGGAAAAATTCATTTCCCAAATAAAAAAGGCAAATTATTATCTGAACACCTTCACTTCACTGAAGTGTTACACCACCAGCTTGTAGGAAAAATAAGAGTAATGCCATCATACAAGAGAATAACTACACTATTAAATTTCTACCACTCCATTCATGAGAATGATGGAATACTGAAGGAAAACCAGGAAACAAGGCGACAGCAGCTTAATAGCTAGTATGTAAAAATATTATAATAAAAAAGAATTCTTTTACAATTTGGACTTTCTTCACAGAATTTTACTTACATTGTCCATGAAATTTGGCTTAAATCCTCCCTCCTGCTGTCGTCGTAATTCCTCCTGTTCCCTCTGGCGTAGCATCTCTTCTTCACGACGCCGATGTTCTTCTTCGTGTCTAGAATATTTTTTAAAAACTATGTCAACTTAGACTCTTGACCTGTTCAGGCTTGTACTCAGTCTCAGGAGATAGGATCAAATATATAAAAAAACTGGTCATTATTTATTTATTTTTATATATGGTGTAAGGCACTAATCTACTCCACCTGATGGGTTTGAATATTATTGAAATTTGTGTTTTGTTTTTTTAAACTGGAATACAGGTAATTACAATACCAGTCCATTCTATAACTGTTCTTCTGGCTACATATTGGTAAGCAGGTTAAAATACTCCACTTCTTAACAAGTTACTATGTATTAAAACATTTCAATACTGCCAAAAGACTCATTTTTTTAACTCTGCAAAATGTTTGTGTTTTGTTCTTGTTTCTCATCTATATTTCTTGTGATATTTAACATAAAAGTATAAACTCCATCAACATGATACTATCTCTTATTTTCTTGTTTTAGCAGATGCATGGAAACAAGTATTTGTATGAATCAGATCTTGAACTAAAAACTGTTTGCAACATACCAGAATGTCAAGTGAAAATATCCCCCAAAATCTCATGTCAGACTATACATTTGCAATGCTACTATTCCACATGCAGATCACCTGCCCATAAATCTCAGAAGCATGTTCATATCTATTACAGCTGTGCTTCTGTCACAAGGTTAAAATAAATTATATGAAACAAACAAAAAAACTGTTATGACACTTCTACGCTATTTAGAAAGCTCAGAACTTTACAACAGAACTAGTAGAGCTGAAATAAATGAAAAAATTCAAGAAATACCTGAAACCATTCTCTTATATAAGCATAAGCCATCGCTTTTCTGTTCAAGAACATTAACAGAAACATCACACATTATGCTTTTGAAAATCAACTTTTTAGCAGCAGAAACGTTTTTATTTGGTATCAAAAGCAAGCTCTACAAGCTAGAGTATCTAAATTCATGCAGGCCTACAGCAGCTGCATGCCACACCTTTGCACAGTAGAAGACAAAATACCTCAATTGTATCTGCTTGCGTTTTTGAAGTTCTTGATTTCTAAGTTCTTCCAAACGCCTCAATTCTTCTTGACGGCGCATGAGATCTAACAGGATTAAAAATGTAATAAAGATAAAAGTCACCAATCAACAATGTGGCAACAGAAAAAAAATGCTATTACTGTCAGATTACAGTTCTAACATTCAATTTTTAAAGAAATTTCTCAACGCATTGAACTAGTTTCTTCCCATAAAGCTAGGTCTAATATATGAAAAAAACACATTTGATCCATGTCTCACAGAAACATGGAAAGGTACAGGACTGGCAAAGCCTCTGAAGCAGGTTATGGAAACAGAAATCTAAATTCCTCAAACAAAGAAAAGGAGAAAAAACTCTAAAGCTCTTAAATCGTATCCTGGTTTTACATCTAGGGCAAGGTATCAATTTTCTACTGCTAAAGTCACACTAGCAAGAAAACTGGTACAATATATATGGGCTTATACTATGCACTACTCATTGCAGACCACTGCATGGCATACATCAGAAAAAAGTGTGTAATCTGAGCCGCCACAGAGATTTATTATGACCTAGCTTATAGCAATTTACAAATGACTTATCTTTTAACACTACCAGAAAGGAACAGATGGATCCTCTTAAAAAGCATTTAAAATGCTCTTAAAATGCAGGGCGCAACTATTAGTAATTACTTTTGCTGTACTGGTTTCTGACTAGTCACATTATTGATTGCTGCCTGGAAATTTATGTTTTCTTCAATGAATATTAATTCTATCTTTTGTTAGAAAGCAGTTGTTTGCCTTTTCTATCTTTGCAGGATATTGGCCACATGACATTATAGACACCATGAGGAACATTCCACTATACCACCTATTATATGCCTTTTAGGCTTTAGTTCAACTACTCCACACATTTCTCTATGCATTTCTGCACTATACTAATTAAAGCATCTTTTTAGCTATGCAAATCACTTTCCTCAAACTTGCATCAGCATGTATTACAACTTAACCTTTTAATGTCCAAAGCCAACTACAATGACCAGTACATTTCAGCAAAATATTATGTATTTGTTTTCTTTTCTAACAAAGCAGATTATCATTTTCTTATTCTCACAGCATCCTTACTGACATTAGAACTCCTTTCTCAAGCACATTTTGCAGGCTTGCTTTTCCAATCTCTTCTGCGAAATTAACACATTCCACACTTCAAGAGAATATGATTACATTGAAGATTCATTCAAATCACAAAGTCTGAGGGCTGCTTCTTTCCAGCTGTGCTTACCATAGAAGACCTGGCCACTGTTATCCTGATACTCAGGGAGCACCACAAGCATACTTTTTTTTTTAAAGAGCTTTTAGATTATTTCAGAGTACAAGTGCACTTTTTTTTTTTTTTTAATTAACCTTTAGGTTGTTTCAGGGTATTACCAAGATCAAGAACTGAGCCATTCTATGCTCAGTATTGTCCACTGTGGAAAAAGATTTCCTTTTCAGTTCTTTGTTCTTCCAAATTTATGTAGCATTCCCTTTTTCTTCTGTTAATACACTGGCACAGCATTTCCTACTTTCTCTCTACCACTAATTGCTACAAATTTATCATTTACTCCCCTTTATTCTTAAGGTGTAGAGTCTTACTTTTCCCAATGTCCTCTTAATCGTTTTCCACAGCACAGTTCTGATTATTGCCTTTCCTGAAATTGTTAGTATTTTAAAGTTCAACATACCCATTTATGATCCAGTACCATTTGACAATGGCAGAATCTTGGCACAAAGCCTTATTAGCCAGATGAAAATATATATCTACAAGTTCAGGCTGTACACAGAGCCATTCATATTAAAAGATCTGCAGTGATAGTAATTCCGGACTGACACATGTTGGACACAGGCCCTTTCTCTGAATAGAAAAAAGCTGCACTAAAGCAGCTGTGAAAAAAAAAAAACCCCCAAGCATTATTATTAGCTTCTGCACTTCCTTGTGCTTAAAAAAGGGCAAGGTCTTCATTTTATTCTCAACCTTTTGAAAAGCAGAGGGCAGAAGGTGAAAGTACACTCTCACCTCAGAAGTTAATCCTACAAGCAGGAATACCAAGTCTGAAAAGATTTTGAAGTTGTTTTAGCTGCTGATTTTTCAGGTTCTAAATATGGAAAACAAATGCCCAGCTTCCATGTAACTGATAAAGAATGAAGCTTTCAGTTAAATTCAGTCACGTTTTCCAGGATTTTCATAAACTATTTAACCACCATTATGAGAGAATATTTACAAAAATCTGAAACATACCACCAAATACACAGATCAGAAACATCGCGGCAATTTACTTACACATGGAAACCCATATTCTGCTTTACAAATTACTTCTGACTCAATCTGTCAAAACATGACACTTACAAGTGAAAAATTACAGATATCAAAAGAATGAAGTCTACCTTCAGTATTAATACCACACCACAAAAACCTGAGTACTTAAGCCAACATGTTTTAGTTCAAGTCATACTAGCTCTCATAAAGCAAATTCTATAAAACCTTCACCTGCAGGAGTATATGGACTCTAGTTAGCTCAGCCTTCCCATCTTCTTTTTAGCTCCTGAAAATTAATATATTGCATTTCATATTTCAGAAAAACTACTTCAATACACCTTTAAATCTGTGTTTTGTGCATCAGGTGTACAAAAATATTAATTCTAGGTTCTGATGCGTCAAAAGTTTCACTGCATCTTTCTTAAAAACCCTGTGATGCACTCTCATTAACATAATTAATATTCTTGGCATGGTCTGAACTTATACCCAGAGACACTATTCAGACCAGCAAGATTTACAAGCAGCTAATGTCTGAAAAGAAATACAAGAGAAAAAAACACCTTATTTTCATACACACTGAAGCTGCAGAGTTGACAAAATTAAAACAGAAGGAATGTTTACTAACCCCTAGAGCTTGACAAATTAAACATCTGCAGGTGAATAAGCAGAAATCTAATTAGCTGAACAAAATTCCAAGTTATTTGGTACCAAAGAGAAGTACTCTGTTAACCAGACAGGGAAGGAAAAAACCCTCCTCTCACTCTAACAAAAAGCATGTTTCCTCACTGGAATATTAGCACCAAAAGCATTCATATTCTAGTAGCTCTTTAATGGAAGGAATAATTCTCTTCCTTTTCCATATAAAAGCAGAGCTTAATAGACACTCAAAAAAAAAAAGGAATATTTTTCCTTCACAATGTCCTTAAAAGAAACTCTAATATCCATAAAACATACCTAAACCATTCTCCCGCATGGTACCATCAAGACCTTTGTTATCTTAATAAACAGGCCACTGTCACCTTGTCGCAGTTTCAAACACTATTAAGGGATGCTAATTTAAAGAAAAAGTAATCCCTAGCCTTGCCTTCAAGTACAGGCAACAGATGGATAAATTCTAAAAAAAGTAAAGAGTAGAAGTTCTAGAACTGGATCATTAGGACTGTCAAATATTAACAATTAGTTAAGTGAATGGTAAATTTAGCCAACCTGTATTTTCAGCACTGAACCATCTTTACCAATATCAGTCACACATATACACAAAATTTAAAATGTGCGTCTAATTGAAAAAGAGGGGTTGTACTGTGTATTATAGGCATTGTTGTTAATCACATTAACATTCACATTCCTCACGTGTAAGATATACCTATGCTTACATGCAAACCAAATGGTTTAACATTTTTTGCTTGGAAAATAAACCAAGAACCAACTTGACAGTTGTCATTTCAGGTGCTGCAATAACTATCTGGCATTTCAAAACAGTTTTTTATTTTATTATGCTCTGTATTTCAGTACAAGACCTTATATAAACAGTATGGTTTCACACTAAAAGCAAGCATGCCTATTTAGAAAAAACAGGCTAAATAAACTTTTTCCTAATGACAACTTTCAGTTGCAGTAAATTTAAGAATACTATGTAAAAAATGAAATATGCTCCTTTTAATCTCTTTTCCAGTTATGAAAATGTTTTAAAACAAATTTTAAAGGACTACGATACCCAAGCATTTAGGTGTTTTAATTCCACCAGCCTAGTGAATAGTCTAATCCAGCTAATATAAATATTTTCAACATGTCATTCAAGTCAGCAGAAAAAATTAAGATAAACCAGTCTCACACAGGGAAGTTGTACTACCAACAAAAATGTCCTTTCTTAAGAGTGAGCATTAAATAAAGCCAAATAATTGCAGCAGACAGCTTGTATGAGTTACCTAGGTTTAAGTTTTGAAATGCATCTACTACTTGGAATCTCAAGAAGTTCAAATCCCTTTAAAATGACAAGGAACTCTTATTTAGCCAATCAAGCTAGTTATTGCACTGTCTTATGATCTAACACTCTTAGGGATAAGAATTGTTTTAGCTAGCCATTATCTCCCTTTAATTAAGATTTAAAAAAAAAAACAAAACAACCTTTGGTGTTTCATTCATGCAACAAACCTTGAGATCCTTTCCGTCAGATCTGCAATATATTTAAACTTTATCCGCTCAAGTCTTGCAATTTAGCAGTCATACAGAGGGAACTAAAATCAAGTAATAGTTCAATAGTTCTGAACTAGAAAGCAGTGATTGCATGCCCACAGCATTGTGGGAAAACCATGTTTTGGGGAGAAGACTAACAAGCAGAAAGTACCAGATACTTGCCCTGCTACTGTCCTCTCTGCTCATGAAACACTCCAGCTCTATTCTTAAAGATAGAGCTTGAAAGCAATTGCTAGAGGACTTCCCCATCCCCCCAACACTAGCAAAAGACAAGATGTCCAAACAATTACAAAAGAGGGATACATGATCTTAAAATTTCAAGAATGACTGAAATTCATGGCAACTGTGAGTTATTTTGAGTTGTTACATACATACAATACTATGCACACATCAGACTTCTCAGCTGGGCTTCAAAGGGTAAAAAAAGTAACATTAGCTACCGGAACATTTAAAATCATACCAGAGGTGCACAGAACAGCCAAAAGAAGTACAAGCTATCTATCATTTTTTATTTTTTCCTGCACATGGCCCACAAACAGTACTTAGTCCTATCTAGTACCATAAGCAACACCAAAAATGGAAAATAATTTTACTGATGACTGTGAAGCTACCATTCAATTTCTTTACATAACCTGCTTACACTAGACAAATTTAAGAAGTGAAGAAAACAGACCTAGACAATGACTGCTTTCTCAGTTTCTTAATTCATCTCTGCAAATCATCAAGTAATATGTGTAAGGAGTAATATTACTTCCTTTTTCTCAGTTCAATGCATTTAATTAAATAGCATCTGCAAATTCTCTATGTTTAGCATACAGCTCAATATGCTACACAAAGAAAATCTGTGACAAAACAAATTTAATACTAGTAGATTATCTGATTTTACCTTGCCTCATCAGCATTAGCTGATGCTCATGTCTAGCTGCTTCCATTTCTGCCTCTAGTTTCTCTTTGGCTTCTCTAATGTTCCTGTCAACCTGTTCACGCTGTTGCTTTTCCATCTCATCAAGAGCCTTCCACCGTGAAGCATACTCAAACTCAAATGTTCCAGGTTGAGCAAAGCGTGGTGGCTGTTCTCTTTCCCTAATAAAAATTTTGCAGTTAAAATGTACAGAAAAAGACATTTAGATCAACAGCTGTAACTGCCAAAGAATTTATAAATAATCACTTCAAAGGTAGATCAGACTTTAAATCAACCTGTCAGATGACTACATTCTAAACCAGTCAAAGCTTAATTCAGCTGTTAAGAGTGATCAGAAAAAATTGTGCAAATAAGGATCTGTTCAATTCATATAATTTTAAGATAAAAATTCATGTTTACATTGGTACAAAATACTAAGCCGCAACACTAGATTAACTGTGTTCAGCCTTCTAAAGCAAGCAGTCAATTCATAAAACCACTTATTTAAATAAATATCAAAGCTTAGACAGCTCAGAATATTAGCCACGATCTCTAAACATTAAAAGGTGCCAACATTGTATTTCACGTTCTGACACTAATATTGTAAATAACAGTGACACATTTTTAAAAAGAGGTATTCTACAGCCTTACCAGAATGAGCATTGTAGCTTCAAACAGTGTGATTTCTAAATGGCAATCGAATTTCAATATTAATAATTAATATTATCAGATTAGGTGACTTCTCTTCCACCTCATGATCAAGACCCACTTTCTCACGTTATGTGCAAAGTTTTATCTGAACCATGGAAGCTGCAAAGATTTACACTCCACTGACTTTACAATCAATTAAGGGTCTATTCAGAGAACAAAAAATCTGTGGGTATACAAATCTCTGCAGGATTAGACCACACCCCTAAATCCATAAAAAGACTATAGCTTGGCTGGCAACAAGTTTTAACTGATTTCAGTGCAGGCCAGGAAATCTACCTACTTTAGTAAATGCACAGAATGTTAAACCAACAAGTCAAGTCTGAATTTTACTATGATTAAGAAATCTTGGCAAGGTCCTACTCAATCCTTTGACACAAAACAGCACAACATACAAAACACTACTTCAGGTTATACAAACTCAAAAAAAAAAAAATTAGCATATATTTACCAAGCTAACTAAGGACATAAATCATGTTTTATAAAATAAAGCTGAACATGACTTACTTGTGATACTGTTGTGTTTTTTGCATTAGCTTCTCTGGGAGCCCATCTTCATCATCAAATTGCTCCATTGGTTCTACAACAACAGGTCGAGGTGTTCTGGAAGACAGTTTCAATTTAATAATTAAATCATAAATGAAGTAGTTAAAGTTATTTTAGTATTTTGAGGAAACACTCCAGAAAGCTAACATATGTTATCTATAATGCCTGTCTTGCAAATTCTTCTTAAATCATAGAATTCCAGTGAATCCCAATTTGAAGAATTACCTTTGAAAATAATTGTTTCTATACACGAAACCAACTATTCTGCCTAGAAACCACAACATACTTCATGTAGTTCTGTTTCCTATGAAGTATTTAAAGATTTAAAAAAAAAATCTCAAAACCATCTACAAACAATTACAAAATAGGAAAGAACTACCTTTTTGTTTTCGTCAGTGAGGTAAGACAGGGGCCATGATTATATTGGGAAAGCATCAAACCCAAAAGAGAACAACACAGCCTATTTATATTTCCACAGAATATTAAAAGTTACTTTTGAAAGTTACTCTGCAATTGAAAACAGCTTGACAATTTGGCATTAATATTCCAGTGATAATTAGAAAAACGTTTCTGCTTAAGTTATTTAAAACCCTTTCTTTGAACAACCATACTCTCACAAATCAGAATCCTAATTCATCTTTGAAAATACCTTCCTTGAATTCTCATTATCTGTAGTAATCAGAGACGACTATTAGCTAGTACTGCCAAGGATAGCAGTATAAGGATCCTGAATTGTGTAAAAAGCTCTCTGCATCAGTCTTGGGAGCATAGCCTATAATACACACCTTAAAGTGGTAAGAAAAGAGCTAGAGACACTACTTGTAAAATGCCAGCGCTTATTTATTGTGTTCCACACCTTTATGTCACTTCACAGATCTTTTCACAGAAAAAAAATCAATATATTTTAACAACATCGACAGCTGAAAAAGAAAACTTTGGGCATCGAGTGCAGATGAAAAAGATGAAGTCTGGAATCACAGAGCACGCAACTAACTCAGCAACTGTTTCTCCTGATGTTCTCCGCATGGCAACTGCTGGCAGCTCTGTTATTTAAATGCAACTGAACTGTGGTGTTAACAAGTTATTATTTAAAACAACAATTTTAAATCTCTAAATTAGTATTTAAAATGCCTGGTTTTGATATATTTAGCCCATGAATTTAAAGATTTGTCTTCTGATGAGGCAAAGAGTTTTCAGCTAAAAACATAAAATTTTAGATTCTGAAGCAAAACATCAAAGTATCATGGCAGCAGATTCATGCTAATTATCTTTGCAACTGTGCGTTAGGGAACATGTCAGCCACCTAAGCAAGACAAAGATCAAGTGCTATTTATTCACTCAGGCCATGGTTAGCTGGTCATTTCAATCCAGCTAATCTATCCAGAATACCCTCCCTCATACCCCAGCTTTTTTCCCTGCCACATCTCTCATGCCAAGAATAGCATTCATGTAACACTGAACTAGATTAGTTCCCTTGTTTGGTTGACCATGCTTACATTCAAATACTAATGCCAAGAAAACCCAGGGAGCAAGAACAAATTGCTGGCACCGATAACAGTAAAGGCATAGTCACATTGAATTTACTACGTAGCTACCAGGTCAGTTCAGTGGCACACAAAATTTATGAGATTATCACAAGAAAATGGAGTTCCAGACCCTTTCCCCAATCTCCTCCTTGCAACATTTTCTCCTGCTTTATCCCTCTGCTGGACCTGATGTTCATAACACCCACATCAGCAAGCACCTTCACATGCTTAAACAGCCAAAAATGAACCCAACAAAAACAGATTAATACTTTTCTGTTGTTTCAACGATCAAAAGTGGCTTATGGAAGTATCAAAAAGTTCTCAAGCGGATAAAAGATCAACAGCACAGCCAGGGCAGAAAGAGAAAAAAACCTGCAAGTTCCCCAATTTGATGACAGCAAGCTTTCATGCTGTGGAACCACAGCCTTATTTTCCCAAATGAGAATCAAAAAAAATAAAAATAAATCCTGAATATCTATTATTTTACACAGTCCTTAAGAAAGCATTTGAAAATGTCACTAGTGAATGTGTTCGAGCACAGCAGTTAACAACTTCCTTCAGCAAGAACAGAAATGTAAGATGCAAGAGAGAAGTGCTGTAATTTGCAAGCTTGCTTGCCCTTGAAATAGAAAGTTTTCCAGAGATTGTTGCCACAAACTCCTGCAGAATCTAAGTCTTCATTTAAAAAAAAAAAGTACTTCTGGCCTTTCAAGCCACAAATAAAACTTCTGAGAGAGAAATAAACATAGGAACACTTCCCTGAGTTTACAGAAGTATCAGCAATGTAGTACACTGTTATGCTAAGAAACAGAGGTATATTATTTTGTCACATTGTTACCAGGATCAGAAAGAGTGCAATCAATAAAAATAAAGTCTCACTAGAAAAAGCCCTACTATATAGAGAAGGAAAAGTAATATTACATATTGACAAGGAGAAGCAAAATGTTGGTATCAGACTCTCATATGGTAATTACAAGTCTTATAAACAGTATGCAGAAGATGATGGGTTTCCTCACAAAAAAAAAAATCAGGAGTATTTGGGGTATTCATGTAAAACAGCTTAACTTCTTGCCTCATGGCTTTCATAATTTGAAAATAAAATAAGAACAAGGGAATACCCATGAATGCAGTTTTCTTTCACATCAGAAACATATACTCGCACAAATTCAAACAAAAGCCTGTGAACTTACGTTGTTAGCAAGAATGCCCCATCACTGCATCTTTCTAGAGCTTTCCGTGCTGGAGGTTTTGCTGCAAACTCTACGAAACCTTTTCCTGTAGCTCTGCCACGATCATCTACTACAACAACAGCTCTTTCCACTGGCCCAAACTGAGAGAATGCTTGTTCCAGCAGCTCATTAGAAACCACAGGTGAAAGATTCTTGACAGTTAGGGCAGCTCCATGTGTAGCAAATCGAATTCGAAGTGGTCTGCTCTTCAAAATAGTACCATCAAGTTCTGCCTTTGCTATTTCAGCCAGTGTCCTAGATTCCTTTGTCAAGATATAAAATATTTTATATTTTTTATTTTCAAAAACAGGTATCACTTTTGTGTTCCTCCCCCCCCTTCACCCCTCCACCAAAAAGTAGCAAAGTTTTTTTCCTTAACTTGAGCACGTTAGCATCAGGGTCATTCAACTTCCCTCCCCACCCTCCCACCCCAAAAAAGGCCACCAAAGTTCCTGTCTGCTGACTGAAAAAAAAATACACATTTGTCATCCCTTATGATTTATTCTAAAAAACAACACAGGTGCAAATTTTTGTTGCACATTAGAGGACTTAAATTCTCATTATGACGGATACATTTGTGCTGCTCTGTAAAGGCTTTCAGTAGAGTTGAAAACTTGATGCTTTTTTATATTTACCTAGTCAAATGTTTATATTCTGCATCCCTAGCTCCATATAGTAGTAAACAGTATTTTCAAAGATTACACTACAGTATCTAAGGTGTTTTGGATTTTGGTTTGGGTTTTTGTTTTGGTTTTAAGTGAAAATATCACACTTGCTCCTTACCACTGTTGAACTCTTAATGGATGTCCAATTAGAATTTCATCAACAAATGATGAAATTACCTTCTTTGCTCATGTATACGTTCTTCTCACATTTATGGGCTTTCTGCACCCACATCCATGAAACAGTCTGCACCAATAACTACCCTTTTTCCTCATTTCAGAGATTTTCACCGAGTTTGATACCTGCAATCCCTTACATTCAAAGAAATTATTCTTTAGATCATAGCCATTTTTTCCACAGTTCAACTGACTAGGTGAATTGTTAAAAAATAACATACTCCCTAAACATAATGGAAGAAGGAAGGTCAGATAAAACCTGTATCTAATCTATATTACATACGAAACTGAGTAATGACATGTAAATATATTGCACTTCCTCCAGAAAAATTCTATTTCAGGCTGGGGGATTCCCAGGGTACAAGATGTATGGCAGAATGCCACAAGCACTTATCTTTAAGATGACAACCAAAAAGAAAAAAAATCCTAACCAGTAAAATATATGGAAAAATCATAACTAGAGACACCCAAAGCACTCTAAAGCTATTCCCAGAATGATATAAATCAGTGCATTCTAAATATGGCTGTCACGAAAACTAATCCTGCACATTAAATTGACATTTAAATACAGTATCATAACCTTTTCAGAGGATTCCTTTTTTGCATGCTCAACTCCAGCATACTTGATCGAATATTGTGTTATCCCTAAAAATCTAGTCTTATCTGGACGCAAGTAATTTAAACTACCCAGGGTCCCATTTCTTTGCAATGTGGAGATTACATGTTCTTTTTCACAATGTGTGAGCAGTGGTATTTCGAAACAATCCCGTCCAATCTTTAAAATTAACTGTGTTTTCATAGACGAAACTTATAATGAACTGTACAGGCTCAAATTCGCTTCTGCATAAAAAAAGGATTTTTTCTAGTCCTAAAGCACGATAAATTCTCCCAGTTAAATAAGTAAAGTCTTTATACAGGTATGACACGAACAAAGCAGATCGCGTACCCACATCTTCCATTCACTGAAAATAACAGGCTGCAGGAATACCCGTGGTAGCAGCACAGAAACGGTAACTGATGGAGGGGCCCTGAAACCAGCGGAGTACCGCGTAGTGAGGCGGGAACCTAGACGCGAGGGGCTGGGAAGGCTGCTCACAAAGCAGGCCTCTGGCTTGGAGGTATGGAGGTAAATGGCGGGGGGG